AAATCTTTTTTTTTTTTTGTTTAACCTTTCCCTATGGGCTTCATCAGAGTATCAGTAATGTTGAGACTTGGACTGTGTGACAATGATAGTAGGAGTATGGGTTACTTTTTTTTTTTATGATATGTTTCCAACTTGCATATTATAAGACCAACCACGTCTCTTGTTTATAGATCATATTTAATATTCTTTATGTATTGATATCGTTTGATTTGATACAGTATTTAGTTTGTGGTTTAAATTTACTCGTTATTATGTTTATCATAGAGATGATTATTATGAGGTGTTGAAAGACAATTTAGATGAAGTTAGAAAGATGTAACGACAGCTAGGTTAGGACAAAATAAGTCAGTCAAAAAGCAGATCAGATATATAGGTGAATGATAGTACAAACAAACTACTAAACGAACGAGGTCAAAGGGATCTTATTCAAAACCTTCATCAACAACCTCTCATTTGTTCGACTACTCATAAAATTTGTTGAGTTAAGGTGTATAAGAAGTTTTATCTCGAAAAAGAGTGTAAAACAATGCTCATCTCTAAATAGTTTTTTGATATTTGTCTGGTTATATAATATTTCATTTATGATTAAAAAAAAATTAAAGCTAAGTTATTTCAACTATACAATGTACAAACACAACATTATACATTATTTTAAAAAAATTAAAAAAAAATCATATAAATTGAGACCGAACGAATTGTTTACTTTTAAGTTCCAAAGACAACATGGACCAGCTGCCTCTGTGGCAGAATATTCTTTTATATATGATCATCTCCATTGGGCATATTCCATGATTATTGAAGCAGATTTAGAATGGTTTTGTTGATTCGATTGAACTCATAATAATTGATTTTGAAATATATATATATATATATATATATAACATGATTATATTCTCATTTAATAGAAGATTTATCTCTATAGATATCATTATTTATGTTCAGAAAATTCTATGTTTTGAAAGAAGTTTGAAAAACTATTTCAAAATTGATTAAGAAAAGAATCTACTAATATACTAATTCGTAGTAGTTGACTATAAATCCAATTACACTACTTAAATAAAATTTATTGAATTCACGTGAATACAGTGGTTTAAGATTAGATCATCTCAAGCTAAACTAATCTTTATCTTCAACTCTTCAACAAACTTATTAAAATAAACATTTGATGATCCATTCGTAGCTAATGTATTATGAAATGTCTCTTTCACTTGTGCAACATTCTTCCTTAAATTATTCGAAGTCTCTTCGTTCATCAAATATTTAATCTTACTGCGTACTTCTTCTCTCGTGATTGATTCCTCGTCACGAAGATTAATTCCAACTTTCCAATCATAAACCACTAATTTCCGATTAGCGAGTTGATCGGTGACAAGCGGAGAACAAATCAACGGCACCCCACACCAAATGCTCTCCACTACAGAATTCCATCCACAGTGACTCAAGAAACCTCCAACTGCTGAATGTGAAATCACCCTCGGTTGGTTGCACCATGGCACGATCAACCCTCGATCCTTCACTTTTTCTTTATATCCAACGGGCAAAATATCATTTTCGTCTTGACCTAAAACATTAAACCTAAGTACCCAAATGAAATTCACTTCACTAAGCATAAGTCCATGAGCTAATTCAAGAATATCCTCTTTGTTAACAAGAGCCACACTCCCAAACGAGACGTATAAGACCGAACCACGAGGCTTGGCATCGAGCCATTGGGTGCAATCGTGCTCGGACCATAGGCTACTCGAAATAGTTAGTTCAGTGAAATTCGCGGACACAATTGGACCAATGGCGTAGAACTTGTGCTTTTCTTGAATCGATGTGATGGTTTCAGGTTCGAGCTCCTGAACAGTGTTGGCTATTATTATATCGGCTTTTCGAACATCTTGAAATGCCTTGTAGATTAATTGGTGCACCACCGAATTTTGGTACAAGGATGGCAAGTCACTTGATTTGATTGATTTAACTCCAGGAATATAATCAACAATATCTTTCCTATTTTCTGTTAAAAAATGATTTTAAGAAAATTATCAGTTTAATATATTTCTATATTCTAACAACAAGATTAGTGAGATGGCATCACTCAGTGACACTGTACATACAAAAGTATTTAATTTTACTAATTCATGGAAGTTGCTAATTAAAAATATGGAGATCATATGTCACAAATAAATAGAAGAGACTACCATTCTTTTCTAATCAGTATAACAGATTATGTAAGAAGACGAAGATACAAAAAAAAAAAAAAATCCTTTTTTTTAATAAATGATACGCAGATATCTCTGTCATATTTTTGAGACATTAATGGCGCTGCCGTTCAAAAACTAAAGTATATATGTCACTCACTCTAGCGAAACACTAAATATATAGGGACATCATAGAGACACCTAGCACAATCTTATCTGTTGATCCGATATTTTATAAATATCAACTTGATGGATAAATTATAACTCGTGTATGTCTGTTAATATAAAGAATATACAGTGATGCAAGGTGGACACCCTTCGTCAGAAAAATTACGTTCTGTATATATATATATATCAAATTTTACATCTAAAAGATATATATTTAAAGTTGCTCATTCTTGACAAAAACTATGCCTTTCCACTTGAACGAAGGAGTATCAGTTTCAATCACCAGATCCAGTATAGATATGTATGTTCTAGTTTTTAGATTGCATCAAAAATATGATATAGATATCTATATACCATTTATGATAATTCAAGCTATATTTTTGACTTTTTTTTCTTTTTGATATATAAATAAACATTTTGAATTTTATGATGCTAAGCTAAAAATAAGCAATATTCTTATATCTAATAGTATGTGAGATTGTTTCTGATAAATCTTTCGAGTCAAAAGAGCAAAAAAGAAAAACTCACCATGAGAGCCAGAGTGACCATTTTCTTCAAGCAAATCCAAGTGATAATAGAGAGCAAAAACCAAAGCTGGCTCAGTGAAGAATGAAACATGAACAATCTCATATTTTTTTGCGATAATCGATGGCCAAACGAAGAAAGTATCAGCAATCAAACAATTAATTGGATCAACACAATCCTCTTTCGCTAAATCCCCAACTAGTTTATCAACATAATTCGAAAACCCATTTATTAAACCTTCCAAAAATGGCAACGAATTCATATTCCGATCGAATTCCAACGGAAATCCATCGGAAATAGTTAAATAACGTATATCAAGCCCAGATTCACAGGGTTTTGAGAAGATATTTTCGAGCCCCGACGGCTCTGACGAGGAAGGTGAATGGGCTTTTGTTATTTGGGAATGAATAAATTGTGTGTTGATAAAAGTTATAATGAATCCTTTTGAAGCAAGTTTTAAGGCTAGATGAATTGTTGGGTTTATATGACCTTGATATGGACATGGAATTACCAAGGCATGAGGATGAAGCTTTTTTGCCATTCTTTTTTTTTTGATTGATTAATTGTTTGAACTTTGATTCTAGAACTACATGTTTCCTTACCTTCAAGAGTAGGGGGGTGGGTGGGTCAATTATTTGCCTATACCTTCGGACAGTGGGGGAGTCAGAATTTTCAATAGGGATTTTGAAATTCGTAGTAATAGACACACGAAATAGCTGAAGGGGGTTACACGTTTACTATATATATACATACAAAATATTATTTTAACTATGTATAAATAGTATAATTTTCCGTTAAATGGGGTTTGGATGAACCCTCTTATATCAAGGTGGCTCCGCCCCTGCCTTCAGAGAAAGATTGTAATTTTTTCAAAGAGTTGTGACATTTCTAATAAGGCACAATAAATATTTGTTCACCTTATCCTTCTATAAATACAGGGATTTTCTCTCATTTTAAAATAATGAAAATTCTGAATTTTTTCTTCTTTTGTACAATTAAATATTTGTGTATTTTGCTTCTGTTGAATGGCTCACTGACACTATTAATTTTGTATCAATACACTTGTAAATAGAATCGTTCTATTCCGAGAGGATCTATTTCTTTAAACATTGGGTACTAGTGGAGAATAATTTTTTTAAAAAGGAATATTGTGCATCCAATGAACTCAATTTTTTTCTTTCTGTTTCATTTTATTGTTATAGATCCTGGTATATTTTTTATATATAGTTATTATTTTATACTTATGATATTAATTGTTGTTTTTGAGTATATATTTTAAATTTTGTAGTTTGTGCTTTTATAAAGTTATTGTTATAAGTGTTTATTAGTACAAATAAGTTTATTTATTTATTAAAAAAATTTAATATCTCATATTGATGTTTATCTAATTTTTCAAAAATATCAAATAGTAATATAGGAAAAATTGTAAAATCAAATTAAAACTGATTGATGGAAGGATAACTGATATAATTGACATTTTTTTTTATTATTAATTTTCGTTAGTATGTAATCTTGTATGTAAAATAATATAGTATTTTATAGACTTTAATAACAGATAAATTTCAAAAATTATTTTATAAATTTTATATATCAAATTTTCACACAAAGCGCGAATAATTTTACACTTAAAAAATGTATAAAACCATTTTTCATAAGATTGGTAATATCTATTATTGTGGTTAGTAAACAAAAGTGTGACCAGCTGTCTGATTCCATTAATTAATTTATTGAAAAATGAACATTATTGGGTTAGTTGTTTGACTCTTTTGAGGTTCTTCTCTTTTTTAGAAGTTTTATTTTTGTTTATTTGAAAAATGATGTGTCTTTTTTTCATGATTAATGATTGCTGTAAGTACTAATTGTACAATCGTTCGTAGGATAAGAATAATAATTACAGAATTAGATATGAATTAATTAGCTTTATTTCATGTGTTTGCGCACTCAACTTTTCGAGAGAAAAAAATTCCATTTAAATAAATGTCAGGATGAAAAAAAATAATTTACAACTTGATACTTTACAAGATAAAAAAGGTAAGAACAGGAATAACATGTTCACATCACAAGTATTTTGTAAAGCAAAACTAAAAACAGCTAAACACTTATCCCATATTTTTTTTCCGGGCGTCCAGGTCAGCTTTCACGCACCTCGACTGACTCTACGGGATACCTATCACCTCTCATCAGCAATAGGTATATGACATGCAACTTTGTCGATCAAGGCTAAGATAGATGGGAAGAATCACCTGGTGTTTTTGTCTCCGCTGGAATTTGAATGTTTGCTCCATACTTACAAGGATGTGAGCAACTTGTATCTACTGTTGATTTCAAAGTAACATCTGCTACATCAGCCACAGTAACAACTCGAGTCGTTTTATGTAAATTGAAGAGACTGTGATTTAAAAGAGCAAATCGGAATATGCATCGAGGCCATGCTTGTTAAGATTCTGCTTTAGCTTGTATAGTGCTCGGGTCTCTAGTTGTCGTACTCGTTCCTTTGACAGTCCAAAAACAGCGCCTATTTCGGATAGAGACTTTGGTTTGCCATCTCCAATGCCAAATCTAAGTCGGATTATTTTCCTTTCCTTTGGACTCAGGACATTTAGGAGGCCGCGTATGTGACGCCTCATAAGTTGTTTTGATACACTCAGTTCTGGTGCTTCAATTGCATTGTCAGCAGTAATTTCCTGGATTGAGAAAAATGATATCCTCTCTTTAGCAATCGCCAAAACATGATCGAAGTAATCTGACAAGCGGAGTATCCGAGTGGGGTTTGGGAAAAGTTAAAGTGTACTAGAGATAGAGAAGTTATTTCCAATAGACCCTCTACTCAAGTAAAGGCTAAAGCATCTCAAAGTAATTACTAAGGAGAATGCAGAAATGAAATGCAGTAATAGCAACTAAAAATATAGCGCTACAGAGAAAGAACAATAACAACATGAACTAGTGCAATAACCGAAGCATAGAAATCACAGATGATAACAACAATAGAAAAACAATAAACAACGAGAATAGTGCTAATACTACTGGTAAGAGAGTAGGTACCCGAATACCCCCACCTATCCTACCTCGCAGGAAAGCAAGATAACATTCAATAGCACATAGTCAAAAGCGCGGAGTAGTTCTAGGGAAGAGTTTCTAAGAAAGGGTTGCAGAAAGCAAAGAAAAGTCATAAACACGGAAAACACTTGCTAATTATTAAGTCCTCTGGCAATAAACCTATTTTCTACCAGATTTTATATCCCCTTGGACTACCAGTATTACATGCAAGTCAAAAAAAGGCTTGGACAAACGAAAAGAAATCATCCTGATTGTGATTTACTTAGTAAGTTCCTCAAAAAGCATGAAGTGGTGCAACGAATCATCACCTGGAAAGTAGTATCTTGATCTGACCACACTGACTGTTGCATTGAAAGTGGTGTTCTAACATTTGAAAGCAAATTCTGCAACCTTTCCACACTCATTCCAGCACATGATGCGATGTCTTCTTTGGTTGGATGACGATTGCCTTGTCGAATGCATTCTCTTTTGGCGTCTTTTACTTTAGACAGAAGCGCGTACACATTTTCCTGCAATTCCAGTTTGTGCAGATCAGCTACTTAGATATCCAGATATAGAATTTGCTTCAATAAGAGGCCATTTTGATGGGGAAAAAAGAGGTCCTTACGGGCAAACGGATTGTCCTAGAGTGTTGAAATATGGCCTTCCTAACTGATTGCCTTATCCACCAGTATGCATAGGTAGGAAATCGACAACCAGCTTGAGGTTTGAACTTCTCGACACTTTTCATAAGTCCCATGCTTCCCTCCTGCAACCACCCAATCCATCAGCTGGTAAACCTCAATATAATAGAACTGCATCTTCTTAATGTTAGAAGTGATTAAGCAAGCTGCACAGCCCCCACCCCACCCCACCCCCACCCTACACACACAACACTTGCGAAAAAATATCTGACACTTTGATTGTAGAATCAAATGTGTAAACAAACACTTCGGGATTCTAACACAACAATATATGCGGATAAACCTCTGAAAGGCTAAACAACTCCTAGAAAAACGTAGGATAATGAATAAAAGCCGATTAAAACATTTTTTCTCAACGAATAGGTATCTCCTGCATAATTTTCCTTCAATTTTGCCCCATCTTTTGCTAAGTCAGAGCATGAATCCGAAGAAATTGTAGATCCTTTGAGAGAACTTCCTCCAATTGATTTTAGGTCTACCTCCCTCTTTTAACGCCTTCATCGCAATGGTTTCACATCTACGGATTAGTGCATCCAGTGATCGACGCAGGACATGACCATACCATCTCAACAAACCTTCTCTCATTTTATCTAACGCCGGATTCTAACTCAAAATGGGGACAAAGAATGTAAATCTTATGTTCATAAACATGCAAAATCCTGAAGGCTAGAGAACACCCTTGACATAACATAGCTATACAAACATATCTTAAGACTTAGAATAGTGGACAAACGATGAGTATCTTATGTACATAAATATCCATTCACCTGCAATAGATCCTGAAGGTTGAGACCACGTCCTTGATATTGCTTAGCAATATGAACCACCATTCGCAAATTGGCATTGATTAATTTCTCACGGCTGCTCTTGCCGGAAAGAAGTTGTGATTTCAATTCTCGAGAAGTAATCCCTGCAGCTTCAGCCCACTCAAGCGATGTTGGTTCACGAGCAAACTGAATCTGAAGCTGATGCTTTACTTCTTGTAATTTCATGGAGATCTGAAACATGACCGGACATTGATTTAACTCCTTTTTTCTTTGTGAAAAAACAATTTCTACAGGAACAGAGACAAGAAGAGCAAAATACCTGTATCTTGACAATCAATTCAGACTCCTCTTTGGCGGTTAAGAGTTGTTTAGTTTCGGGACCCCATAGGAACATTCGAAGAGGATCATTTAGATCAATAGATTCGTTCACTTTTCTCCGCACATCTGGCCTGCCTGAACGATTATTTGTCTCCTGAACTTCTTGTATTGGCTTTGGAGCTCCCCTTTTTCTAGACTGCCTCTCTATAAAACGTGTTGATCTTACTGTACGTTGCTCTTTCAGTTTATCATCAACCAAATGCGTGGATAGGAAACTGAAAATCAATCAGAGAGGAGATAAGTTATGAAGATTGAAGATAACTGTCAAAATGAAAACATAAGCAAAAACACAAGCAGGATCCGGGGAGGGTAGAGTGTATGGACCTTACCCCTACCTTGTCACGTAGAGAGACCCTCAGCTCAAAGAATGCAAAAACACAACATTTATGAAGACATGAGCAGTATCAAAAACACGATAGTAAGAAAATAGAGGCATAAGAGACAGCAAGTAGCAATAGAAAACTTAAGAATGAGAAATACGGAAATAGTAAAATAATAAAAATACTGAAAATAATACTAATACTACTAGCAGGTGTGAAAATAAACAAGGATATTATCAAGACGGACAAAGGAACATACTTTGGAAAATGAGAATCATCAAGTAATTTGGAGTCTTCAGCTAATAAAGCTGCCTCTTTTGATGCCAACAAAGCTTTTCTGGCAAGAGCAACCACACTGTGTGGTTCAAAGTTCATTAATTTATCTCCCTTACTGTGAAGAGGTTCCTTATTTGGAGATAATGGTCCTTTTCCCTTCAGATAATACGGGGGAAACCTAACAGCAAAACCACAAAGTGAGCTAATGAAATGACTGCACTAGAAAGAATGCTATTTACACAAATACTAAAATCAACAGATGTAATCACTTCATCTTACGAATATGATGGACCAGGCCAATGAAGTAGCTGCACTTGCAAAGCATTTATATTTTGCTCTGAATCAACAGCATCATTCTCTTCCAATTCTGAGGATGCAGCTTCCACAAGCCTCCTATCTATTGTTGCCTTCAGCAAGAAAAATCAGAGCCACTTTAAATTAGTGATCAGAAGAAGACAGAATGTTGTATGCACATAATGTCGCTACCACCTACCTAAGAACCATAATACAATGAAACAACATCGAATGTTTCTAAATTCTAAGTCAAAAAAACACCAAGAGTCTCACCAGGGATGTTTTCTCTTCCTTTACTAGGTGCAATTGCAGCCGATTCTCAAAATGCTGCTCCGGACCGATAGCTGATGCAGGAACATATCGACCCAAATAAGTATGGGGCACTGAAGAAAGCACAGGAGCAGCATGCTCATGAAGCATCAGAACTGCAAGTTTCATAATGTAAAATTAAACATATATCCTTAAAGAACAGGATTATTTGCATTAACGATTGAGAGCTACAGCCATAAAAGCGGAAGAAGATATGTCAATGGTTCCTACTTTATAAGTATTAAAAAACACCTCTAAGGAAGCAATACTGTGGTATTATTTTTTGAAATGGCGATACGTAGTACTAAACTGCACCGAGTTTCTTGGGATTATCCTTCTAACAATCATTCATCCTAGCCAACTTTGGGATATTTCTGGTATCTCAGATAGTTAGCCCTCTTAGCAGACAGGTTAATATTTCACATCGGATTCAGGATTCTAGCCTACTATTTTATACACGTCTTTAGTAATGGACAATCCCATAAGCTATTAAAACTAGAAACTCATTGTTTCTTCTGTAGTAAGAAGTGGTTACATGAAAGATGAAACTAAAGACATCTGATTAAGAAAATAATTCTTATGGCATCTACAATTATCAATCCTAAAGAAGAACAATTTTAGTTAAATATACTTAAATTCTTATGTCTATTATCGACCATTTCAATATTGAACCTTCAATCTGTGGTTGGTGACGGTCATCATATTGTGTAAAAGACTAGGATAGTCTGACCATCATAGCATAACACAAAAGAATGTGTGACTTTTGACCAAATAATGACACTTCTCTATCATTCTGATAAAATAATGATAAGGAGAGAATAGAAATATAGTGGGAGATGGAAACATTTTGTTAACAGAACAGCATAATCGAATCCCGGTAAGAAAAACCTTTAAGATAATTCAAAAATGCATGTATATAACTCAACTCAAAAAGCTAGCTCATGAGTCAAGGATTGCCCAAGACCATAAAATGAGACAACAGTCTTCCACCAACACTGATAACTTAATATAGAATTAATGGTCTTTTCTATCAACTGAGTAAGCAACAATCTAGCATCAATATCATAACAATGAAGTGATCTAGAAGCACATTAAATCAAGTAAATGCCACATTTCACTTAAGGCATTAACTTTATAAAACTAAAGTTTCAAACATGTATAACTGGACTGCTAGAAAAACCAAGCCAAAAACAGTGGGAATTCAACATTTACAACAACAATTATGCTTCAATCTAAACTAACAGAATTCAGCTATATGAATCCTCACTACCTGTTCTGCTTTCCTTCTCCATTTGAACAAGTTTCATTTCAAAATATAAAACACATTAACATAATAAAACTAAAGTTGCAAATATCGATGATTGGGAATGCTAGAAAAATCAAGAAGGCAAAACCAACGGGACTTCAACGCATTTACAACAATAATCATGCTTCAATTTAATCTAGTTGGATTTGGCTAAATGAATTGTCATTATCCATTCTTCATTTCTTCTCCATTTGGACAAGTTCATTCCAATAATTCAACACATTTCACTAAAGGCATTAACTTTAAAAAACTAAAACTACAAATATTGATAAATGGGAATGTTAGAAGAACAAGAAGGAAAAACAATGAGAATTTGAACACATTTACAACAACAATTACCCTTCAATTTATTAGCTGGGTTCGGCTACATGAATCCTCTTTATCCATTCTTCATTTCTGCTCCATTTGGACAAGGTCCATTCCAAAAATTCAACACTAAGGTATTAACTTTATAAAACTAAAGCCACAAATATTGATAAATGGGAATGCTAGAATAACCAAACAAAGCAAAAACATTGGGATTCCACGCATGTACAACAACAACTACTCTTCAACCAAAACTAGTTGAATTGGGTTACATGAATCCTCATAACTAGAAAGCACATTAAATAGCTAATTCAGCAACTGTGGCGCCTCATTTCACTAAAGCCATCAACTTTTTTACCTGCCACCTCCCACCAGCTACGGCATATGGTAAGTAATCATCTAGTGTTTTTTTTTGTCTTAATTGGAAGTTGAACCTAAGACATCATCATTCTCAACTCACTTCAGGCCACACCTTGGGTGCTCACTAAGGGCATTAACTTTACAAAACCAAAGCCACAAATATCAATAAAATGGGATGCTACTACACTAGAAGAACCATAAATACAGAAATGCATTGATAAAACAACAATTACCCTCATCCAAACTAGTTAAAATTCAGCTACATGAATCCTCACTGTTCTATTATATCCCATTTGGGCAAAATTCAACAATTCACCTGAAGAAGAACAATTCCTGAGTTGGGTTTTCTGAGAAAAAGTTGGTGGTGAAGAAAGAAGGTTTCTTCCAGCAGCCTCCATAGCTTTAAGCTAAGCTATCTTGTGAAACTCTTCACTATTTTTCTGGTATGTGGGGTGTAAAAAAGATATCTTTTTTCAGAATTAAGAGGGGTTTTAGTGCTAGCATGAGTATTTTCTTGAATTAAAAAAGCTTCATTTGAAGATTGAAGATGAATGGAAGTGATGGCTTTTGCAAATGTTTGAACTTGTTCTTTGCCTCAAGAATTTGATAAAACCCAACAGGATGAGATTTTTTATTTTGTCTTTACTATAATACCCCTCCATCTTTTACTTTTTTTCTAAAACATGCCCTTGTCATAAATCATAGTAATTAAAATATTTTGGTACATTATATTCCTTTTGATATAATTATAAGCTTTTAGTGTGTAATTATAAATATCTAACAATTTATATACCACAAGAAAATTTGATTCCCTTTTATAATAGTTGAATATTTGAATTGTGATGATGTAAAATTTATAATTGAGTTTAGGTAGATTTGGACATTGTTTATTTTATTCATATTTTGGGAAAGTAACATTGTTAATACACTTTCACCCTATAATATTGCTAATATTTTGCTCTATGCATTACCTATAAAAATATGTACAATAATAATATATTTGACGTAATTTTATAAAATAATATTTGGAAAGAATAAAATGTATGCAGATTTTGTCTTTAGCTTGGAGATAGAGAAATTGTTTCAATAGATCCTCAGTTCCACAAGAAAAAATAGTGTAAAGTAGTCTAGAAAAAAGATTAGTAAAAATAAAAAAGTACTGATAAAATACTATAGATAACTTGACAAATAAATCTATATAGTAATCATGACAAGATAATAATCAACGTACCAAAAAAACGATAAATAATAATCAAAATCAAAACATAAGAAATTACAAAAGTAATGTTATGACTAATAACTAGTAACAATAAGTGAAAGTCAAGAGACAATGCCTTTAACTATCTAGTTAACTTTATTTAATAATCCATATTTTCTGTAACCTCGTATCAATTGTTCTTCACGATTATTAAAGTAAAATAAAATTAAAGAAAAAAATCAAAATCCTTTTTATTTTTTATAACAATACATGTTTTAGCACGTTTATTTCTTATTCAAAAATATGATAAGTAAACCGTAATAAAGATACTACATTGTTTGATTGGTGTCTTTTTGTAATAACTAATATACTCATATAAACCGAATTTTAATTGTAAGGGATATGTTTTCGTTCTAAATATATTCATAATTTTAAAATCTAATAAATTTACCGTAGATAAATCTTAAAGTGTTTTTTCATCCGCATTTTCCCTTATAATAAGATCATTTATTTATGATGAAATAATATAACACAATCGACGTATCTCAAAGAATACAATATGATTTATGCATATACAAACTATTAAAAATAGTTTCAAAATTGGTCCAAGACAATTGTAACATGAGATTTATAAAGATTATTAAATTTAGAATATGATACAACAATAACTATCACGAGTAATCACTCGTTATCCTATTATAAAAAACAATTCAAAAACTTTCGAAACAAATAAAAAACAAAATCACCATTTCTCTTTATTATAATAGCTTGTGCTTTAATTTCATAACTATAACCTTAAATATCTTTTCATACACTCACAAATACAAAATCTCCATATATGCATTATTTTCTCTCATCCCCTTAAATTCATACAAATGCAAAACCAAAAAAAAAAAATACTATGTTTTTGTTTGGGATAATGCACAGGTAACCATTCAACCTATGCACGAAATCTCAAAGACACACTTATACTATACTAATGTCTTATTATCCCCTGAATTTATTTTATTAACAATTTTTCTACTTCTTTTCAGCCTACGTGGCACTATCTTGTGGGTCCAACACTGATTGACTTTTTTTTCAAATTAGTGTCACGTAAGTCGAAAAAGAGTAGAAAATTATTTATAAAATAAGTTCAGAGGGTAATAGGACTTTAGTATAGTATAAGTGTGTCTCTGGAATTTCGAGCATAGTTTGAGAGGCAGTGCATTTTCCCTATTTATTTCAACAAATTTGTTTTCTATTTTTTAAACAACTAAAGTGTTATTTTTATTTAAAAAAAAAAAGAATAATTGTCTGAAGTGGGATCCACAACATAGTATTGGGCCCATGAAGCTTAATGGGCCCTTTCAGTCCAAACACACTTCCCAAGAAGATACAGAAACTCTCACATCAATTTTTTTTTCCTATAAAAACTCTTTTCCATTTTTGTGGGGTCTATTAAAAATCAAAATTCATCCCTAAAGCACAAAGTACTACTTTTCCCTCCATTCAAAAAAAAAAAAAACCCTAAAAATGGGTTCAGAAATAGTTGTTTCCGGTGCAATCTCCGGCGTCGGGAACGGTAGCGTTAACTCAGAAACAAATGGCAAAACTGCGCTCGCGGTCGTTCCGACGAAGAAGAAGAATGCGTTATCCGTTTCATCTAGCAAAGACAGGCATACAAAAGTCAATGGTAGAGGACGGCGCGTAAGGATGCCGGCGTTATGCGCGGCGCGTGTTTTTCAATTAACGAAGGAACTAGGTCATAGGACTGACGGAGAAACGATAGAGTGGCTTCTCCGTAACGCTGAACCAGCAATCATCGCTGCTACAGGAACAGGTACGGTTCCGGCGACTCAAGTCACTACGACGTCGGAGAACATACCGTTGTCTCAGTCACAACCGTCGGTTTTAGCTCCGTTAACACGAGCTACGCCTGTTTCTGGATTTCCGGTAGGTGGTGGATTTTTCTCTATGACTCCACAATCGCAGCCAAATTGCCGGCTTGATTTGTGCCAACCGTCGTTAGAATTTTCCGGCAATGCGTATCGGCATATGCCGTTCACGGCGTTGCTTTTACAGCCGGTGACCGCCGATGACGGCGAAGAGAAAGTCGCCGAAGAAGATGAGAAACAGTAGAGATATGGATAAGTTTTAATCCTTATCTTTTTGTGATATAGACTAATGGCAGCTTTTTTGGACTAAATGTGTCAGTTACTAGACTTTTGTAGGTCCTTTTTTGCTAATATCTAAAAGATTGGAAAAAGGATCAAAAGAGGGTTCAGCTTTTTGGGTTTGGGGTGAATTTAGTAAAAATAAGTTAATTTAGGGGTTAAATGTTAAATTTTTTATATATATTTTATTAGTAGTAACTCTCTTTTTGTATTTGTAAAAGAAAAGTATTGTTCATGGATGAGGAAGTTGTTACATTTACTCAAAATGTTGTAATATTGTTTCAATCTTTTGTTCATTTTAATAGTTTATGTCAAGTTTTGAATGGATGAAATATTAAAATAAGAAAAGAAATTTGTATTTTGAAATTAAAAAGCTTATGATATATCAAACTTTATTTGTGAATTCATAATTCGATTTTATTTAATCTTCATTCGTTACTTAGATTTAATAGGACGAACAGTTTATTAGTAGCAGGGCAACGACTCAAGTCAAAGCCATGTACATCAAAAACGCGTAGTTTCTCTTTCAGTGCGATTTATTCAATTGAAAAACATATAAGATATTTACCGTTTTCTCTTTCGGTGCGATTTATTCAATTGGAAAACATATAAGATATTTACCATAATTATATATTTAAAAAAATTGGATGTTTCTTATATTTAATAACTCTTTAATTTAACAAGGTGAGAGTTGGGAAATCTTTAATTTGTATATCATGTGGAGGACAATGTTTGAAGAGAAACAAAATATGAATATAACAATATGATCTTATTATGCCAACTTAGAACAAACTAGTACTATATGTTAATAATAATTATGTGAACAATTATAAGAATATAAAGTTAAGTACTATTTATCATATAGAAAAAATAATGCAAAGCTACTTGACCCCCAACTTGTTCGGGATTGAGGCATAGCTGTTGTTGTAATGTAAAGTAAGTACGTGACCCGGAACCTCTGTACCGTAACCGAGATGATGCCATTGCAGGTAGGTAAAGTTCAGCTTGAATAAAACAGGTCAAGAACTCTTAATGCTTGTTCCAAAAACTCCACTTCTTCTTCTTCTTCTTGAAATCATCACATGGCAGGAAGTCTGGAATGCAGCATTTAGGATAATGTAAATGAAGAAAGCAAGTGACAAAAATTCTCCCTTCATCCCAAAGTCCCGATTTACGTGACATAGTTTTGAATCAACGCGGAATTCAAGAAAAAATGAAGACTTTTGAAACATACGATAACATCATTTCTGATTAGGTGTGAAATTGAAGTACACAGTTTAATTGTTTCTAGATATAGAACTGTGTCGATCTTTTGGAATAGACTAATAAGGAAATAGTATCACGTAAACAGGAAGGAAGGGAGTATATGTTAATTCAGGGAAAATGTGCATGTACCCCCTCCGGCTTTTCAAGATCTTCGTTTTCTTCCTTCCTATAGACGACTTAACAATGCTAAGACAAATCATATGGAAAGAGGGCAAAAATGTACAAAAGTAATAACCTCCTTGAGGGTAGATTGAGTTGTAGTGCACCTCCGCCCAGAAACTCAAGTATATGACTGCACGAAGAAAAGAACAAAGAGAAACAATTAAGTTTCTTTGACGGAATCAAGATATCAAGACTTCAAACACCGCTCTTTCATCTAGTTTGCAGCCCCGCCACAAAATACCCGTCAACAAACATTTTTATTCAAACTTCAATTCCTTTTCCAAGCAATCTCCAGATTTACAGTAGAGGTATTGATTATACAATGGCGTAGAATAGATGACAAGGATGCATTAACCGATATAAAGTTTGCCCTGTTTATTACAGTTTCAAGCTTTCTATTGTCACTAAATATAAACTCCCAATTCCAAATTCTCTTTTTTTTTTAAAAAAAAGTAAAAATTGTTCAATCACATTCTTTAAATAGAGGATATATTACAGAAAGGTAAAAGCAATTGAAAATTTGAGAACTAGTTACCTCTATTTGACTTTTGATTCTTCGGAAGGATCTCAATGTAACATGTGTCTTTGAATGAAGTTATAACAAGAATTTTCACGCCATACTGCCCACAAGGCAAAAAGACAGTCAAATGTGCAACAGAAATAAGTTCATTTATAAACCAATGGATTCTGATCTTAGATCACCACAAGCAAAATCTTGAAAGAATGCATCAAGACCACACATGATAGAGTGAAAGAAGGAAATACAAGATGGAGAGGGACGCTGACGTGCATTTTCTTCCACATTAA